GCATCATTAATGAATACTAGATCCAGTTTTTACCAAGATGGGTGGCAAAGTTAACAATATTGTCATGACCAAGTGATATAAGGAAGGAGCAATCGCTTCCATTGAAGTCGCCAGTTACTATTGATAAAGAGTTCTCGAAGCAAGCTGCAGCAAAAGCGGTGAATTCATCGGCGAACATAGATAAATCCAATATGGTACAGCCAGGAGAGACATAAACATTAGAAATATAAATGAATTTGTATTTTGACAGGTGTTTCGGGCGACATCTCACAGTGATGCAATCAATGAAGTCATTCGAGAATTTGAAACAAACTTTGTTAGAAATGGACCATTTTGAGTGAATAAAAGTTGCAACACCTCCACCACATTTTTTCTTGGAACAAATACGGTCTTGTCGAAAAACATTGAAATTGTTTAGAGACACATTATTGTCATCGTATGAGTCATGGAGCCAGGTTTCTTGTAGAGTGACAATACCAGTATTGTGGTAGGTACTAGAAGACAACAGAGACTGAAAATCTAGAATTTTATTAGGCAGGGACCGGCAGTTGGTACTAATGATAACTGGAACAGTGGTGTGATGTATGGGTGTAGATTTTAAGGCACGCTGCCAACCACCATGGTGCTTTTTCTTGAGTTTATTGCAAATATGAAAGTTTTTGGGTTTAAAACGTTTTATAAAGTCCCGGGAGTAGATAATACGATTAGAATGCATAATGTGATATGTGAATACCAACAAAATACGAGTAAAAAGATGCAAAATGTACATGGAATGTGGTAGCCCAAAAATATTCAAACAGGCCGCCAAGGTCATTCGATCTTATACATTGAAGGAGCCTTTATCGATGAATCAAATTTCATTTCTTGATATGAGCAATGAAGTCAACTGAGAGACCATGGTTAGTGAAGTATACGACAAAGAATTCCATGAGAATCTTATCTCGAAAAGATGTTGGACCACAAAATTATTGAAATCAGCTAAAGTGATGTGAGATTTTTGTTGACAAAATGGATGATAGTACACTTTTAACCGAGCAGACTAGACATTTTGAGTTCCAAGAGTTTGAACTAAAGAGCTATGACAGAAATCTAGCAGACGAACACGCACGTTTTGTAGGAAGTCAAAGTTTTGCTGATTGATTTCGGACTTAATAACGAAACAAGGAGACAACTCACAAGAGGCTCTTTAGGTGTTTGAAGAATAATACAGAGGTAGAGATGACATCAACACCTGGAAAAAGCTACTGAGATAGACCTGTGAGGGAGCCTTAATCGATGGATCAAGTTTCATCTCTTGTTATGAGCAAGTCGACAAAGAGACCATGTTTAGCGAAATATACAACAAAGAATTCCACGACAAGCGTATCTCGGAAAGATATATCTCCAGAAAACTCTCGAAGGCAGCTAAAATGATCGAATAACCGTGTTTGTATAAAAATGGGCACTTCACAATTAGCCTACGCTGGAGGATTAAAACAGGCATTTTGATTTGTAACAGAAAAGGTACAATGAATGCAAGAGAGACGTTTGTGGCGGATTCAGATCTCTGGACTAATAATGAAATGTTTATTGTTATGTACACCTAGGTTTGCCTGATTTTGGCTAAAACCTCAAAGTAACTATCTCAAGGAGCTTTTGCACACTGGCGTAAGCCTTTTGTTATTCCCCCTGTTTTGATTGCCGGATGCATATTGACTGTTAATCCTTTTCAAGCATCAATGAATTAATGCATTTTCAAGTTCATTCTAAGAGTATGTATACAGAGTTCTGACTACCATTTTGACTGTTGTTTGGGTCAACAACAGCTGTCTTGTTGACGTTTAGTTTTTTGTCTCAGCGTGTTATCGTTTGATTTGTTGTTGACGCGTGATTAGGACTGATTAGCCAGCGCGTTAAGTTAGTATTCGCTCATAGTCTACCACGTCTCAGTTCCAGTCATAACACTTATAGGTGAAGGTTACAGTAAAAGTCTGATTGGTCAGGATGAATCAAGGAAATGATACCTGCCTCATCACCCATTTGTAATTCAAGGAAGTCACGCATACATGGGAGCGTTCGAATGTTCTCAGATTGTGTTTCTTCAAATGATATATATATATATATATATATCATTTATATATATATATATATATGTATACATTGCTTCAGGTAGCGTGAGACCACTAGTCGTGTCACTGGTAATCTCTTCCCTGTAAAACTGACAGTGTTTGTTCGCTGACCAGTATGTTCTTCTCCATTTTGTGTAAATGCATAATTATTGGAGTCATTGCTGTAACGCCGCTCAACTCACAATGGGTGAAACTCAGTTAGCCCACTGATATGATCACTGTCGGCATACAGTAGTCTTGATGCAGTGATAACCGTAGCAATTCGAAAGTTTATTCTTCGAAACTCAGGGAACTCAGTCGGAAATTGCTGAGTTCGGACTGTAACTGTTTAATTGTTTGATGAATGTTGACACATTTACTGATCATAGGAAACCTTGTTTTGGCGATGGATCATTCAAATTTTACCGTATCGATTTTTGTGTAAGTTATCAACCTACCATTAGAAAACTGGTAATGAGGAGTTACATTTCAATTCCCCAAATGAGGCCTAATAAAATGCGTCCACATACAGGGATGGCTGCAGGAGCAAAACAGACACACTCTCGGTTGTGTAAGTTCGTGATGAAAAATACTAACACGTAGAGCCTCTGTAATTTCAGTGAATTCAGTTTAAATAGTCTTAAGAGCAACGATTGCACTGCGACTGTTCCGAAGATGTATATAACATTTACTCTGCTTGAAAATTTCGTAGTTTGATCTATTTTGTGTGACCTAATGAGAATTAAATTGCATTCTGTTGCTTTTCCGATCCACACTAGCAGTCACGAGTGACTGATTGGTGCATCAATATGGCTGTGATACAAATGAAATTCTCAGAGAGTCTTTTTCAACAGCGTTTACACTAGTGAGGAGTGAATGTCTTATTTCTGCAGACTATGAGAAATCATGTAGTCCTGGCTCCAAGATGTCTCAGAATCCTATGAAAGTGAATATATTCCTGGTTGTTGGGTTAAATATGACCATACTACTTCGAAACCTGAATTTATTATTTTTCTTTATTCCTTTTCACCTATCTAAATGACAGTGAATTTTTCCATACCTCGGCGAGAGTTGTTTAACCATTAATCTCACATGTATCCCAGGCCAATGGATCTTGATTCAGATGAGTTTTTCTGCTACACTAAGTCAATTCGCTCCGACCTACCAATATGACCCACGTATTCGACCTCAAGAGCGATGCAATATTTTAGACAAACTCTAGATTATTTTGTATAATGAGCTCCACAGTGTCCTTCAGTAGACGTCATTTGTTGTTCTGCCGACCATAATGTTACCCCTTTTGTTGATTTGTTGACTGAAAATGAGAATCTCAATTTCTTGGAATTTTTAGGAAACACTTCTGACTCCTTCTTTTCAATGTTTGAAATGATGCTTTATGCTTTGAATTTTCAGTGAAGGTTGAGTTGTTGTTGTTTCTTCGCCCAACTGTTCTTCTTTGCTCGGTATGCTGCTGACACGGTGGGGTTATGAAGAACGTCACGCTTCATCACGTGTCGCCATCATTGAATATTTCGATGCAATGTGAAAAAAGTACTGACTAATAATAATTTTTGTGGTCTCTGTACTAAAAACGCTATTTTCGCCCCTCATTAGTAAATTCAGTTTCCTTCAAATGAAACGTAGTCCTGACATAAACCTTATCACATAAGTCAGCCTTGTTTAGTGCCAATTCTTTACCATTACTCAATGTGTTCGGTTTAATTATGTGAAATCAAATTACACCATGATTCACTAGTAATAGTCAGAGGGTAGTGCTTTCAGCACATTTTCGAAAATTCCACTTCAAATAAGAAGAAAATACTAAGATAACATTCTGAAACAGATTCATTGCAAGCTGCGATGTTGAATCCATGAAAAACTAGGGCAAAGAAGCTGCCAAGTACTCTCAGTTTTTCTAAAGATTCCATTAGTTATTTCAGCTCCTCATCGGTTTGATTAGGCAAACTGATTGTGTTAAAAATGGAAACATTGTACATAACTCTTGTTTAAGACGATTCATCTTAAATATTTACGTAACCTTTGAGTACATTTAGAACTGAGCATACTGCACGTCGCTTCGTCTTCTCACTGGTCCGCGTTGTTTGCTTGCTTCTCTGCTTATGGTGTTGTATCCTGTGGAGTTTTCAGGAACCAGTCATCGTCATCCGTAGAATATTTTGAAACTGGTAAACAAATTCTAGTGTTGGATACAAACTTAGAAGTGAACGCTTCTGTGTATTATGCTAATAATGTAAAGCAGAGGACTCTAATTGTGTTATCAAGCAACCAATTAATCCTTATAACTCGTCATCTGATTTTCTATACTATACTGACTCCATATTTTCACATCAATCCGGATTTTATCCTCATATCTCATATCATTATCATGTTTATTGATAAGTTCACAACAAACAGACAGAAGTTACATGGCAAGGACCATTGTGTCAACTTTCAGCGGTTGAGTGTTACATGAGCTCGTCGTCTAACTGTTAGGTCATGGTTTCGAACTCCAGTGAGTGAGAGTCTCAAATTACGATGAACACATGTCCAGGACTGTTAAGTTTCCTAATGGTTCTGTTACTAATGTCTGCTGTGGACAAACCTCGTAACCAATCAAATCCCTGCAAACAAATAATTGACGAATAAAAGCCTTGAACTGTTTAGTCATGTAATGAATAATTGCAGTAAATACAGACAGGAGTCAATAAGCTATTAGGAGATAATAGCAACGCCACTGAACCTTCTTGATTCGTTAATGTAAGCTAGCTGAATTGTAGTAACAGTAAACCAACCAATCAGTGAAGACATCTCATCAAAGTAAAAAAAATTGTAGAATATCATTGATGCGTTCACATCAAGCATCAGAATAAAATGATAATATTTTCAATGTGTTTGAAGACTAAAGTTCAAGTGATTTTTCAGCTAGTTTATGACAGAAAAAAATGAAGTAACACTATTATATAAAACATTTGATGAATTATTTATTGATGAGATTAGAACTGCCGAAGACGTGATAGGTAAGTTTTGGACGACAGATGTATTGTTTGTTTCCTTTAGTACAATTCGTATCTTCACAAACTTGATTTATATTGCTGATCATGTACATAATGCTGTATGCGCTCTGATAATTATCCGATCATAAATATCCATGAACGTCAATGATGGCTGTCATCGAAGCTGGACCTTGGAAAGAAATCTGATTGATTCATATAAAGTGACATGTGAAAGAATAAACCGGGACTGATTAACTTAGACTCCGAAAAAAATTACTTTTTATTTAGAATGTAGTAATTGGTAGGGTAAACGTTGTCTGGTGAAAGTGAACTGGACGAAAACGACGCTTATGCAGCCTGAGGGTATTTGAGATGCAGTACAGTGAGATAAAGGCCAGACAATATAGGTCAGCATGAGCTTGTACTTTCACATACTGACAATAACAGATCATTTCAACGTAAATGATTCTGTCACATTCACACTCTGAACGCTTGAATCCTGTATACAGCGGAAGCAGTCTTAATTCACCTAGAAAGGTAAGAGATCTCCATTTTCTTTCATCTGCATTCAACTATGTAAAAACTTATAGTCAGTACTACTGCCCTTATTGGAGAGAGTATTGACATTTATACTAATGATAATTTGGAAAGGGTACTCATAAAAAAGATTGGAGTTATCAGCATTTGTCACTCATTCCACTTTGAAACTACTAATGTTATGACTGTCGAAGGAAAATGATGCATGCAACCTAAATATCATTGTTTAATGTACAAAGTATTTCACGATAAATACCTGCGAACATGCCTAACCACACAGAAGATCTGCATAAAACAAATAATATCAGTGATACATTAAATTCTAGCCGCATATGCTTTTAGTGACATTGACAATGGTTGTTATGGTCAACAAAGTGTAGGCCAGAATCTCATCAACATAATAATTGTGTCTTTTTGACAGGAAAGAATTTTGTTTTTGGATCAGAGACCACAGCTGGGTGACAGTTGTTTTGATGTAAGTTCATTTTATAACGTTTTCCATCAAAATATGCTCATGAAACTTATGCACACAACTTTCAATGGAAAGTGTCATGACTTACCTGTTTATCCCTATTAGACATCATGAAGAGGTTGTTCATTTAAAATATTCGCATAGTTTACTCTCTGTGGATTCTAGTGTCTGCGTATTGATTGCATGAATGTTAAGTAACTGCTTGTGGCATATATGCAGGTACATTTCAAATAGTAATGAATTCGTACATTTTGCAAGAAACCTGTAGACAGTCGGACATCATATAACAGATGGTTATTGCAGCTGTACCACACTAAGTCATTTAATAAGGGAAACACTTTAATGATGCAAATATTGTGCTGAATTTGAAAACAGACTCAGTGGTCACAGAATTAATTGACCAACATTAATTACTCATTTCAGATCAATTGGGTCACTTCCAGTTCTTGTTCTCTCATTACTCAAACTCCTCGGATATCAACGTGAAATTGATCATTTTCTAATAGGATTCAGTGTAAGTGTTTCAGTCTTTCTGTTTCACGCGTATTAAGTGGAAACTATTTCAAGCCTAAGGAAGAATATTTGTTTGCGAATAACTTATGTGATTTTTGTTCATGTCAATCGAGCATGAAATTGAATTCGCTTGCGTTCTCATCCTAACTGGCTTCTGTGTATGAATAGTCTCAATAAGCTGATGACTGGACATATTCCAAAAGGCTTCAAATCACAAGTGATGCCAGTTTGCAGATGAAAGGGACAAATGCATCTCCCATATATATATGAAGAAATCAAGAGGATAATCCTCACAGCAGCCACCTCTTACAACTGTGTCCCGCGTAATGTATATCGACGTTTATTGGATATTTTGTAGGTGGAGCTGATTTCTAGAGATATCTTAAAAAATCGATTTCTGCAGCAATGCATTCATCATGCGCTCTAGCATTTATATGTATTTATGGGAAATAGCAATGTGTTGTGGTGACGTTTGATGCCGACTGTGTGAATTATTGCTGTCATCTTCATTAGGCACCAGCATTAATCTCGATCGTATCCATAACATTTTTGAAGACGTATAGCACTCATCTCTGTGTATCACATGAAAAAACCTATGGTAATACAATTTGAATGTGAAGAAATAGTCCTTAACCTTGATTGAATCTCAGTCCACGGGATTATTGCAGAAAATGCGATTTGAATATCCACTTCATGAACAGAAATTTATCATTCAACACGAAAATGAGGTCAGTCTCTCACCAACGTGTTTCAAAGGATTAATTGCAATCAGTTATGATAAAAGTAATGTTGACTCAGCACTTACATACTTGTCTCTGCTTTATGTTACTGCATGTCAGAGTAGCATAAGAAATGAACAAGTGGTATACAACTTCCGAAACAAGCATTTCACAGTGTGAGCAATCTCACATAAATTGACTTAATTCAATCCTGTTTAAAAATGGATTATTTTGTCAGCTGAACATTTCAAAGATCTTATTCAATGCGGTTTAAGATCCAGAACATGGTATCATTTTGTGTGGTGATATACTGGTCGTATCAGTACTAGTGAATCTCTGGGAGTGACAACGATATGTCAACGACGTGAACGAGGCCACTTTACTAATACTTCAGCAAAATAGTACTATTTCGTAATATATTTCCCCCAATGAACAAGTCCTCCTCCTATTCATATGTACTTTACTGTAATGTGTTAAGTGATACTTTCTTTCATTTCAGTTCGTGCTATGTTCGATGGGTTTTGCCACTGTGTTCAAAACTGTTGACTGGCTAGCAGCTTTGGCAGCAGGTGGCGCGACGCTCCTGTTGACTGCAGTTGCGCTCTTTATGGCTCTGTACATGAGGGATACTAATTTCCAGTTCAGCATTGCACTTTTTTCAGCTTTATTTGGCTCCACGCTTGCTGGACTAATTTCGTACATTATTGAATACGTATCAGGTAGTACTAAACAGGTATCGTTCGATTGTTCCATACTTTTGAAAATCTGAACTTGATTTATTACGTTTTCATTTCAAAGTGAGATATTCGTTTTATTGAGAATGAATGAATATGAAAGGTTTTTTTTAATTGGATGTCACGTATTTCGAAGGTCACTAATACACAACTGAGACATATTATTGTAAGATTGCTATTCGTGGTCACAGTGTTAAGAGACGATAAGAGGAATTGTCTGTGTAATAGTGTTCAGGGTAGGATGATGATGAGGGCGATAAAGATATAAGTGAGCAAAACTTATGATTTATCAGCTTTCGCAAATTTGTAGATGGTTAGTTCTCTCGATCCACCGACACTATCAAAGTGGACTTCGCTTTGAAAACCTGAAGTGGAAGAATATTAGTCCTGAGTGACCCAAATGGACCTGAAGACAACTGCTTGAGTTTAATTGCACACGGATCATACTGAGTTTATTTTCAGAGCTGTGTGTTTTTTTGGAGATCGTAATACTGGCTAGAGTCGGCTGTTGAGTTTTTCAATTTGATTTCAATGTAGCGAAAAGATTCATTCAGACGTTCATAAAACACTATTTCAAATCAGTATCACTATTTGGGTCATTCTGAAATGCCGGACCGACCACCACTTCAAGTTAGCAGCTTTCGATAAAACCCAAGTCACTGTATGCAAAGTTGATTCATCAAAACATTTCAGTAATCTCATTTCAATGTGGATATCTGAATACGTGAAACTTTGATTCGCTTTGACAAATTATCCCATTTTACTTTCGCGTTTTCAGATTGCACAAAAGATTTCAGTTGGCGTTAGCTTCATTCTCGCTATGGTATTAGTAAGTTTTATTTTCTTATAATCATGATAAACTTAAGTGTGAATACAGTGAGCTCAGTGGTAGAAATTACACGCATTTATCCGTTTTGTCTTCAGCAAAGACAACCGAATAGAATTCACTTCGTTCATGTGCTCTGAATATTCCACAGTATTATTCAATTTATCATTTTATCATGACAGTTCTGCTTATAGTTAAAACAAAAAAAAACATTTTCGTCACATCTACTTACTCACCAGTATTTACGCACACAAAATAATATTTCACCATTCAAATTTAAAGAAACGTGCAGATCGTTATCATAGTTACAGCTATTTCAATCCCTGTCTGTTTACCAGACAGAAGCCTGTATCTGAACATTTTTTAAAGCGGGAGAAGAATACACTCCATAGTTTGATTAATGGATCCATATAGTTTGTTTAATAGATGTATCACACAGTGAAACAATATTATTTGCTGGATGACGTTTCGAACAAAATTTATTGTTCATAATCATATCAGCTGTAATCACATGACTTTGAAACTTGGATTTTGTAGTTTTCTTTGTCTTCATTATTATTATTAACATAATCATCACTTCTACGACACCAGCACTAAGGAATCTAAATCATCAGTAGTAATTCCATACAAGGAAGAAACCTTGGAAACCTTACTTACAAATCTTAACAAGGCAGGAAAAAAAGTGGCTGGGATTCAAACCCACAGACCCAATTATACACAAGCTTTGTCTGTTAGAGGATCCTGTGGAGCCTTTAAAACAAAACAATTTAGTTTATCTAATACCTTGACTGCAATGATTGTCAGGTCAAATACATAGGTCAGACTAGTAGAACAGATGCAGTGAGTCAGACTAGCCGAACATATAATAACCTAGCCAATTCTAGATTGGTTGACCCGAATATGATAAGAAATCTAGAGAATAGTTCAGCTATACCACTCAATGCATGCAGTTACACACAGCCATACAATATGGTGCGATAGGATAACAGTTTTAGAACCTAATGTCACAAGGTGGAGGGAGAGAATGATAACAGAAGCTTTGTTTATCGAATCAACTGCAAATATATATGTAATAGGAATGGTTCAACACCTGTCCCAGATATCTGGAAAATTCTACTACCCCTACGACAAATAGGAGAAAACAAAGAAAACTACAAAACTCAATTTTCAAAAACGCGTGATTACAATTGGCATTATCATGAACAATAAATTTTGATTGGTGGATGGTGACTAGCAGTGTACTGGGTTCGAGGCTCGGTGGGAACATCATCACTCATTGAGAAATGCAGGTACATCCAGCTGACGAGTCCCAAATAGGACGAAATGCGCATCCTGGATTCCACCGCTAGTCACCATCCACCAATTAAATAATAACTAAATGCCTAGACATCGTCGAAGCATCTGCACAAGAAGCCGACATGTCAACCTGAGACCGAGCACTTCGGTCCAATCAATAGAGGGGAAAATCAAAAATCCAGTTCAATAAACAATAAATTTTGTTCGGAACGACATCCAGCAAATAATACTGTTTCACTGTATGTACATCCAATAAACAAACTAATATGGAATTACTTACTACCACAGCGCCTGAATTTTACACGTATATGCATAGTGTATCATTCGTTGAATCAAGTGGAATATTTTGGTGAATGATATACAGTCATTTTTGAATCAGATCGGATGCTGAAACCACTCTCAGAAAGATAAGTTACAATTTTATTCTACATTGCGTATGTCTATCACCTAGCTCAACTAGTAAAATACTCATGAATGAAACAGTTGTGTAGCAATAGAATTACTGTCTCTACTTAGATTTATAATTGATTCGATATTATTTTATTTTCTGTCACTGCAGGCTATCTTCCTGACGATGAATAGACTAAGATTTTGCATCACCTACAAAGATGTTTACTGTACAATAATATTCCGAGCTTTCCTTTTGTGGTTGGAAACGCTCATAATGTTCACCGCAGTATATGCTCCTTTTGAAAAGTCTGAGGAAGCATGTTCAAATGCTCTAATGTTTTCACTTCGATTGTAGTATGTGATCTGTGATAAGTAAATATTTATAATTTGGAAAATCTTCACGGTTTTGTTCAGTCACCTCATACGGGAAAGTTTAGGCTGCTGATTTTCCTTAGCCTTAGTAGTAAACACCTAGTGAATCTGTTGAGTCGTAACATGGAAAATATGTTAAACATTCTGGTAGAGGATGTAGACGAGTAAAGAGGCATGTAAGAAGTAACTTTCATTTCAGAGGATTAATGCAAGTACTTTATTAAAAAGCGGATATATTCCCATAAGACATTCATAGATGTTTTTTTGAAACATTACACTGTTACTAATCGATGTCAATGTATCATTTCTTTAGAACATGGAAGGTGTTTAGAATTCTTGAAAGTCTTCCAGAAGTGTGTAGTACTTGCGCTGGTTTCATAAGTTCTATTTTTAAAGCATGGTTGTCTCACGATGAGCGACACCTGGAAGACTGTGTTGTTATCCCTTAGAGCTATCCGGATTTACTCATTGATTCACCTCATTTCCAGACACCTTCTTTCCCAATTCGTTGTTAATGATTACTGGAGATTTGAAATCAAAAGAGTGCCGTTTATTCACATGGTCCCCTAGCAAAATTGTCGCCAATTTTTGAACTTGAATAGACAATAAACTGACTTTTGTATATCCAATGCATGAAAACGCGCCGCAATACTACACGAAAAGTGTTGAAAGTATATGAAAAGCTATTCAGAAGAAGCAGCCTCACACCTTCACAACAAACCTTAAAATAGACCTTTCACTAGGCCTAATGAGCACACTCTCAGACGCGTCTCAAAATAAACAGGTTCTAGACAACACTATCACTATTCGTTTGCAGGTAAATTTGGTAGGTACACTAGGAGCATGTCGGACAATGGGGCTCAGAACTATTTCTCATGCTGGTTTAGCAGAATTATTTTTTCCTACTTTGCGGTTAATTTTTCAGTTGAGCTGATCAAACTATTCATCATGGCAATAGCAATCCTCACAGTTACTTCATTACATTGCCAAATATTAGGCAAAATACCTAAATCGTTAATCAGTTCTGAAAGTAACAATATAATAATAATTAATATAATATTTAGCAGCATAACAAGGTGTGAGTGTGATTCAACAAACTAACAGGAAGTGTTGCAGCCAAAAAATTTCGTTTTGCGATGAATGCGAATTAGTCAAATGGACAGAAATAATGTTTGAATTATTAGGTTTCAGTCTAGTGTCCTATTCTCTGTGTTTTCTGTTTGCTTGTGGATACAATTCGCAGTTCGAAGATGTTTTGTTGTATGAGGTAGATGTTTGCTTTTATGTTAGGTGAGTTCTTCATCGTTGAATAATAGTGAGCTCCACCATTAATCAGAAATGCATCACATTCTGATATACAGCTGAATACTGCAGACGAAATACGCTGCTGCCATGTTGGGCAGAGGGAGCATTCAGATGTTCCAAGGAGGAAACCATCCACTTTCCTACGCCACTCGATTATCACTTACTATTGGTCGGAAGTGAAGCTTCAACAAATACAAGTGTCTCAACCTTGTCAAGTAGCTTCTGTACTTATTTAGACTTCTTTAAGGGAGATTGATTGGGAAACTTTCTGCTTCGTAATTATTTACTGATTTAGGTGTCGTACCTTTCGATCATAAGACTGAATTAACTGTAGTATATCATTTACCTCATCAATAGCTTATTATTGAGTAGCCATTCCTAACGTGCAATTTATCTAGTTGACATATACATATATATTATTTCCATCCATGGGTCACTTGACCAGTCAGTATCTAATGTTCTATCTGTATGCTGATTTCAATTTTGCAGTCATGAATCCCAGGGGAAACACCAGACAAATAAATGAACTGAATTTTCTAAATGATTTGACATAAGAATTCGTGAAAATATTTTTGAAATATTCAAAACCACTTCAGCGCGGCTGACAAACGTTTAAATGATATAAATTTTTTACAGGCACTTCATTCCAGGGGATGAATGATACAAGTGGACAGATAGTAATCCCACTTGAAATTATTAAATGGTTTATTTTTCTAAGAAACATGTGTATTGTAAATCCAATTGGAAGATTTAATACGGAAATGGTGTTGGTAATTTAAAATGTGAAATGAACATTCTCGTACAATCAACTAACAGCGTGACTGTTTGAACGTAACTGTCCGCAGAATACACGCGATACAGTGGGATTCGGAAGATAAGTCATGGCAGAGACAGTTGCTATGAATCTCATTTCACTGCGTTCACGAAAATCATTGCTACCTACAAAAAACAGAACAGCATGTGGATGGAACTGATTAAAGTTCCAATTACTTTAGGATCAGTTAGTAAACCTTCTGTCTTATCTATATTCAGGTACATAAGTTATTCAGTTAAATTCAGGATGCGCTCAATTTGAAATATTTTTGTAGTATTTTAAGTTGTACAGTGAAGAATGTGGAAATCACTAAATCACTGGTTTATCGAGGAGAAAGATTAAGCCATAGTTAATATGAGTTTTCACAAAAACAGAAAAGATAAATCCATCCAACTTATCAGACATACAACAATGCTCCAGAGGCCACCCGCCTTCATATCGAAACGTTTCTGAAATATTTTGGGATAATTGAAATTTATTGTTCATATTAACATATATAAGCAAGAATGAACTGTCAGTTTATATTATGCACACTTTAAGTCGATAAATTAGCCGACCGAATTTCTTGCAGTCTCGAATCATTTAAGCTAAACGGAAGCGTATGTCCAGAATGGAATTAAAGAATGCTCGGAGGAAAAAGGGATACCGTTGACATTGTTTTATTGGATTTGAGTGGTGTAGTAGGGACTAGTCAGATGAGAATTGATATATCACCATTTTTAGATTCTCGCTCAGTGTTTCAATTTCTGAATTACTAGACCGCCTTTTGCTAATAGAGTACCTGAAAGAATGATGTAACATGTGACCTGTGTGAACTTCCTAAATAAAAAAAATTCTTCTCATAACACAAAACATAATTTCCTTAGGTACTATGTGGAATCAGGGGTTTTAACTTGTCGTCTATATTTTGGCCTCTAGCTGGCTACACGATTGTGTATGGGCTGTCACCTAATCCTCACACAACCTATACGGTGTCACACCCAGGCCCATTTCCAGCATGCCGTTTTCAAATAGGGTTACATAGAGGGACTTAGTTCAACAGTCTGCTTAGCTTGTGGTATATTCACCTTCATTCCTATATTTGCGTAGCAACAGGTTCTTGACTGTCGCGTATGCAGGTACAGTTGCCTTTCGGTTACATGGAATATTAAAGTGAAATGCGGATTATTGGAGCCCTGAAACTACAAAACTCTCAGTCTTTTAGGTAGAGAACGTATTTCTTTCATGACAATTAGTCGGACATATGCTCAATAGTGGTAGTAAATATACATATGATGATGTCAAATCATCTGCGAATGAGGCTAAACACTGATGAAAATGCTTTCGGTAAAAATCCATGAACATTTCACTGTCATCATGCATGTGTATCAGCGAATTATGGACACAACACACCTATGCAGAAGGAATATGTGTGATGCAGCGATTATCATCTTAACTTGAACAATTCATTCATTTGATGCTGCCTAATCTCCTTACGCTGTAGGCCATTTTCTTGACTGTGAGTAGACTACGATATTGCACCATGTTTAAAAATGTTCTATGCGCAGTGACATTTGAAGCTTTCTGTTTATGGTTGGAAGTGATCATATTATTTTCAGTAGTATATGCGTCCTTTCATGAACCTCAGGTGGTGTGTTCAGATGCATTAGTATTAGTATTTTCGACTCTGCTTCAATAAGTTATTTCTCGTAAATACACATTTACCATTTTGAATTTTTTCAAGCCTTTTTCAGTGGTATATTGCACAAGTTAACGATGGAAATCCATGAGAGTAAGCTGTAATTGGATTCGCAGATTTTGTCACATGCCTAATATGCAGCAGACGCAGTTTGAAGATGGATTGAGGGGGAAGGCGCACATCAGAATCAGTATTCATTTCAAAAACCCGATGCAGTAACTTCATGTACATAGGTATTAGAAACTCAATATTCAGAGAAGAGATAATTGATTTCATATATAGAATAATTCATGAGATAAAGAGATGTTGGAAAGATCTAGATAGTGATAGGGCTCCAAGAAGGGTGTGTTCAAATTTATATGACATTAATTGTTTTGCCACTGGACAATTAGTTTCGATTTATTCACAAATATTCTACTGGTGTTTCGAACTATTATTATTTCATGTATTCATAATTTTGATTCAACTCTTTCATCGAATAGAATTTATTATAAAAAACCATATACGTTCCATTGTCGGACTGATGATAGATTCACTGAAGAGAGAAATGAAAATGACACGTATTATGCATGCTAATCTGCTGCATTATCTATTGAGGAATGTTGTCTAAGATCGCACTGGGTTGATCAGGAGACAAGGATGAGTTAGGTGTTGCTGTTTGAAGTCTCTAAGTGTTGTTTTGGGACATGTGACAGAGTAAACACTAACTAGCCTAATGTTACACATTTCCCTCATAATTTCTGGTACTTGTTCAGTTTCTGCATGTCAAATTTATTCTGGACATTCGGGAAATTACTTTACTCCATTGAATCGTTTTGTCGCAATTACAACTCCATATTTACCTCACACTGCTGTAGTACTCATATGACATCTTGCTTACTAAATGTCTCTTCGAAGAATCTGTATTTTCAGTACTTCACCTTGTTCAAGAAGGATACCATTAAAAACACAAAGAAAATGAATTCGGATTGCATTATCAGGAGACGGATACAGTGGAATTCAGAAGATAATTATTGGCAGAGACAAGTAATATGAATCTCATTTCACTGCGTTCACGAAAATCATTGCTACCTACAAGAAACAGATTAACATGGGGATGGAAGTGATTGGAGTTCCAATTACTTTAGGATCAGTTAGTAAACCTGCTGTCTTATCTATATTCAAGTATATAAGCTATTCAGTTAAATTCAGGATGCGCTCAATTTGAAATATTTTTGTAGTATTCTAAGTTGTACAGTGAAGAATGTGGAAATCACGAAATCACTGGTTTATCGAGGAGAAAGATTAAGCCATAGTTAATATGAGTTTTCACAAAAACAGAAAAGATAAATCCATCCAACTTATCAGACATACAACAATGCTCCAGAGGCCACCCGCCTTCATATCGAAACGTTTCTGAAATATTTTGGGATAATTGAAATTTATTGTTCATATTAACATATATAAGCAAGAATGAACTGTCAGTTTATATTATGCACACTTTAAGTCGATAAATTAGCCGACCGAATTTCTTGCAGTCTCGAATCATTTAAGCTAAACGGAAGCGTATGTCCAGAATGGAATTAAAGAATGCTCGGAGGAAAAAGGGATACCGTTGACATTGTTTTATTGGATTTGAGTGGTGTAGTAGGGACTAGTCAGATGAGAATTGATATATCACCATTTTTAGATTCTCGCTCAGTGTTTCAATTTCTGAATTACTAGACCGCCTTTTGCTAATAGAGTACCTGAAAGAATGATGTAACATGTGACCTGTGTGAACTTCCTAAATAAAAAAAATTCTTCTCATAACACAAAACATAATTTCCTTAGGTACTATGTGGAATCAGGGGTTTTAACTTGTCGTCTATATTTTGGCCTCTAGTTGGCTACACGATTGTGTATGGGCTGTCACCTAATCCTCACACAACCTATACGGTGTCACACCCAGGCCCATTTCCAGCATGCCGTTTTCAAATAGGGTTACATAGAGGGACTTAGTTCAACAGTCTGCTTAGCTTGTGGTTCACCTGTGTTCACCTATCTGCGAAACGGTATTTCATTTTATTGATAAGAATTTCTCTAATGATGTGAAAACACTCTATTGCATGATTGAGAGAAATGTGAGGCTGAAAATTCAATTGGAAGGAGCATTGCAGTACTTGCTTTTTTACACTGCATATTTGAAAGTGAATGAAGATAATCAATTCCTGTAAATAAACATTCCGTAGTTGCGTTCGATTTGACCACATTTAATTTCATCGCTCCATTACTGACATTTATTAACTTCCTTTTATTTTCTTTAACTCCTGCTGGAAATACGGAATACAATTCACCCGGATACATTTGAGCACCTTTAGATTGCATTTGGCGCTTTCCTTTGGAATACTGCTCTAGATCTGGTGAGTTTACACATTTTTTGCAACTTTTATGAAAAGGAATTATTTAATGTAAGATTTGAGCTGAACATTCATTTGAATACATAAAGAGCATATAAGGGACTTCATAATATGGGTGAAGTTTGCACATTCTTTCCAATCAGATTTCATTTAGATGTCACTGCTGATTTTATTCACGTGTTTAGATGAGGAAATGTTATCCATTCGGCGAATCAATAAGCTGACATTAATGTAATCGGAGCTCTATATAATCATGTTATTTGGTATTTTGGTTTTATTTCAGGTGGCTGTGATCTTCGCCAGCTCCCACAAATAACGCTGATATCACATGGTTCATCCAATTCATCTTGTGCGAATTTCAGTGTTATTCACGTTTTTGTAGAGAGGCATTAGTTATATATTGCATGGAGTCATATTTTCAAGTAATTCAGATACATTTCTGATTCCGCACTAGAATTTCCACTTTTATTTGTGTAAAACAATTTCTTCAGAATGTAATTCTTAGGTGTTCTCATGAATTTGAATATTTATATAAGAAAGCAACAGCAAAAACCAAAAGGAAACACAAAAATAACAAAAAAATGCAAAAAAAATAACAAGTAGAATGGAATATAATCACCAATAATGAAAAAAAAATTTCAGTATTTGGTAGTGGAAGCTATGATATGTGTATGCGTGGTGAACAGTAACAGCTATTATCATACAGGAATTTATGATATGTTCTTAAGAATGTTTATAGCCAAGATGATCAGTTAATTTTATTTAGCTACACTAAACAATCATAAAATAAACATTTTCGGTTGTTTTTTTTATTGTCAGCACTAATGCGGTGTTTGTTGTGGTAGTGTGAATAATCATGCATAATACAAAAATTTAAGGATGATGGTAACGGCGTTCACAACCAAGATTGTCAGTTTTAATATTTCCGAACAAAAAACAATCACAAAACTTATATTACATGATGGTTAATGACAGGAAAATTTTGTAATACTCATAGTGATAATATAGTCGGACCCAGTAGATACCTAAAAGAAGGAATAGAATAAAGAATAAGAGAGTAAGCCAATGATAATAAATTTAGGTAGCTAAGTATGCTTAAGAAGGTTGTTCACTGTAGAGTACAAATAAGAGAGTATAAGGGAGAAATAAAAAAGCCAAAATTATGTTAATAACAACAAAGCAAGTCATAGGTTTCACGCCTAACATTGTCTCTGTCACTTAGAACACGGGCTGGCCAAATATGGTATCGTTGAGTTCCTATACTTGGTTGTACGAGCATATATTATTTTGTACTGATTTCTGGTTCCACCTGATGAGATGCAAGGAGAGGGTTGGGAATAGAGCGGGTGTTGGGGATGAGAGAGTATGGTTTTAGACCATTTTTCGCATGTATTCTGATGCTTATCCAGCAATTTAGTAACGAGCTGACTGAGTTTTACACCGCTAGTTCTACTAACTACCTTCAACATCCTTCTCAGGATGGTATAGTTCTTTTTCAGTAACCCAGGAAAGACTAACAGGGAACAGTAAAGTAGAATAGGTAAGATACGAGAGTTGACAAATTGTGTAAGCAGAGGTTAAGTGATTCCAGTTAGTCTGAGTTTTTTAATGTAGTAGGTTAGACGAAACACTTTCTTAGAAACCGTTTGGATATGAGATGACCAAGTAAGGTCGGATTAAAGAACTAATGCGAGTTATTTTGCAAAAGACAGTTTCATATGTAGTCCCCTCAATGCTACAATCTTCATGAGTGCTTACTAGTGCTTGTAGATCTCGTTTATGCCTAAAGGAGAAGTCAGTAGTCTGGCATTTTGAGGGATTCAGCATAAGGCCATTTGTTTTAGACCACTGACTGATGTCTGACAGGAAGCTATTTAATTTTAAGCTGTCTAACTGAGACTTAACAGGAAGCGAAACAGTCAGGTCATCTGGTCGTGTTATTAGTTAAATTGAAGGCAAAAAGGAAATTTTGGAGGGCGGATGAAAGATCAATCGATAGTATTTACATCAATAGAAGAGGCACAATTACTATGCTTACGACAACCTGTAATTTCTCTAAAAAGCTTCCATATGTTTTCTGGAGTTTTACAAATATTGTTTAGTCTCTTGATTTCAGATTTAGTTTGGATGCTTATATTCCTAGGACCAGATTTATTCTTTTTCTTGTGCAGCTTTTCTTTTTCTCTTCGAAACTTTTTGAGATGAGATGAAAAGAAACAGTTCATATGGGATTAGATACCACAAAGAATAAGGCAGTATCTCCATTGGGTAAAATTGTGTTGTTCTTGAAATACGAGATTTCTGACCTACTGTGTTTTCAAATATTCTAGGATGACATTCATGATATCAGTGAGGATGTCGGACAGCTTTTCTTTTATTCGACGTTTTGGGAGTTAATTGATTTAAAGAATTTGTAACTTATTGACAACATGTATTGTAACTTACATCTAGGAATACAATTTAAAATACATACTGAGGATGTTGTGCCGCATACTAACTGTCAAGTATTGTCAGTAATGGAAGCTTTTTGTTAAATATTGTCAGTATCATTAGATTGAGTTAAATAATATTAGTTTCGACAGATGATCGATTCTGTTGCATATGACTCACCACTGAACTGATATATTTTAATACAGACGTGTAAATATGATTTACTGACACAATTCTTCATCTGTTTTCAGTATCTACTGATCTCTGTTGCTTTCTCGGGTGCGTTTCTGTATCTTCAGGTGTTTTGCTCTCTTATATCTCTCCCTTTACAGTAGTGGTCAGTGAGATTGTGACATTTTTGATGCTGCTGTTGAGAACTGTCAAGATGTAGTATACTGTGATTATCTTCAGTATACGATGTGCTTTCGCTGGAAATGGAATACTCATGGCCACTTTACAACACGTTTTTCATATTGAAGAAGTAAGTTTTCAAATATAATTCAATTATGAGAGATAAATACCTATTCAATTAGGTAGTAACATGGGTTCCATTGGGATGTCGTAACCAGTAGGGTGCAGTGGGTCAGGTGTGAGGACAAATACTCGCCGAAGACATTGACTAGCGGTCGCGGTATGTGGTGAATTGGCAGAAGTTAGAATTCAAAGACCATTGGATCGGGTCCCAGTGGCTCCCATGCTCGCCTTGTAACCAGATGGTCCTGAGTTGGAACCCCGGTGGGTGCGTACTGCTGAAGAGTGCCAAACTAGGAAGAAACATCTGTCCAGTATTCCCAGGTTTTCCAATGGTTCTCTAACTAATGTCAGCTCATGATGAAATCCTGAAACCAATCAAATCCCTTCAAACCAACACTTGAAGACTAAATGAATAGTTTTTGTCACAACATGGAATTGATCGATTTCTATCAACACATGAATTGAATGGATGTTTTTAAAATTCACATCAAGTATAGTTTACGGAACATTGGAAATAATGCGGAATAATATGGATCTGGAATGTTCGCTTTTTCGAATTCTGCAGTTCCGACTTTTTTCAGCTGTTCTTACATATATTATGTGTTGACAATGCTCTAACTTTCATTCATCAATCGCCGAAAAATTATTATTTTCAGCAAAACATTTAGAGCATGACAGCTTTATAAAATTTATTGTTTAAGTCCTATTCATGCGTGAATTAAACACTTGGAAGTTTAATATTACTTAGTCTGTTAGACATACCACACATTTTGAAGCAGTTTATTTTACTGGATGATGAAGTTTCGAACAAAACCTATTGTCCATATTCATATCGATTATAATCTCACGACTTCGAAACAAGAGTTCTATAGTCTTATTTGTTCTCTTCTATTTGACGTAGTGGTTGTAAAATTTTCCGGATGTCTAGGTCAAATGTTAAGTCATTCCACTAACATGTGTTTGGAGTTGATTTTGTGAACAAAGTTTCTATTTTCAATCTCTTTCTTCACATTGTGGCATCAGCCCCACCCGAAAAGTATGGTGGAGGTATAAAGATGACACATTCACTGTACTTAGAACACATGGCATAAATATATTTTTTGAACTTATCAAATCAAAGTTCAACTCTATTCAATTTACTTATGAATTGGAAAGTCAGGAAGGAGAACTCTAAATGTTAAATTGTAGCGTAAAAAGAAAAGAATATGGGAAGTGAAGCACCAGTGTTTTTACAGAAAAGCCACACATTCAAACAGATATTTACACTTCCAATCATCCCATCGTATGTCGGTGAAAATACGATTGGTGTAATGTTTAAGCAATATAGCACAAAAACTAAGTAGTACCAAGACAAATCTAAGACAGGAAGTGATACATAGAAGAGAAGCTTTGAAACTTTATCATTACCCTGATAAATTAGTCAGTAGGGAAAGGTAAAAATAAAATAAATAATGATAGTAGTGATAATGATGATGATAGTAATAATAATTATAATAATGACGACATGCATGCCAAACATGCTCAAGACAACACCAACAATAAGGAATTTAAATCATTAGTAGTAATTCCATACAAGGAAGGAACCTCGGAAGCCTTACGCAGAATTCTAAACAAGCCAGGAATAAAAGTGGCCGGCATTCAAACACACAAACTCAATTAGAAACACGCTTTGTCGGTTAAAGGATCCTGTGGAGCCTTTAAAATAAGACAATTTAGTTTATTTAAAACCCTGCGATGATTGTCAGATCAAATACATAGGCCAGATTAGTAGAACAGGGGCAGTCAGAATAGCTGAGCATAAAAACCTAGTGAAATCCGGATTATTTAAGGCAAATAAGATATGAAATACAAAGAATAGTTCAGCTATAGCACTTACTACATGCAGTTACACACAACCATACAAAAGGATGGGATAAAATGAAAGTTTTGAAATCGATTGAAACAGGGTGGAGAAAGAAATTGAAAATAGAAGCTTTGTTCATCGAATCAACTGCAAACACATGTTAGTTAGGCTCAAAGGTGCTTAAAAATTTTCACGAAATCAAAACTTTGAGACAATGGCTGGGTATAGCATCAAACTTCAACAACAAGTTTATGAGTGAACTCAGACATCAGTTATTTTACACTTAGAAATATTTATTTCATAATCGAGTACTCTTGTTGGTATGTCAATCTGATGGATTAAATTTGCATTATGACATATCATAAAAAGAAACAAACAATTGTGCTATGACTGCATGTATCAGTGAATTGCCATGCCATTTCACCAGTAGTTCAATCATCACAACAAAGTCTCAATTAAATGTAGATATTTTCAGCAGTCGGCAGCTAAAAGTCCACATATAAGTCAAAAATATGCGCCAGCCACTTAAAATACGTCGTCTGAATGCAAAACTGCGGAACATCCGTGCCGATCAGACGTGACGATTGTAGCTTTAACTCCATGGGATTAAAGCTGCTCGTCACTTTTACACTCAGATTTCATTTCGGTAGACATGTGATTTGCTTCTGGTTGGACTGTTCAAATTTCCTAATTTAGCGATACTAAGTGTTATTATTACATCGCTGAATAATTAGTGGGGTACACAAATCACTAAGTATTTGTGAGTCTGACAAGATTAGCTGATATTTGATTTGATTAACATATTATACCTGCAGTGATTTTGTTCCATTCCTGGTCGAGATAAATTTAATATACATAAAGTCCTAGAGACCTGTTTATTCGTATATTTGTGTGAATGCTAATGCGGTTGAAGAAGACATTTTCTATTCAAGTGGACCTCCCGCTTTGAGGTCAGTGATCTTGCCACTTAACAGCCGCATCACGACTAAAAATATTAAAGCTTAACATATTATCCCTGGTGTCCAAACTAGTGTAAATCAACAGGTAGGTCCACATAAAAAATTAAGTTTCACAACCTCTGGCTGGTTAGGCACAACAATGTAGGTCAGTCGACTAACCAATTAATTATTTCATTGAAGTAAACTACTGATTTAATTTGTTCAGCCAAATTATTTAATCTTATGCTGACAGATATGGGTCTAATAGGTATTGTTGCAGCAAGTGTATTCCTTTCGCAAAAGGTTAAGGAT